ACAAACGGCTGAACAATTCAAGGCATCGCGTCTATTGGTTAGCCAGTAAGTCCGATAGGTTATCACTAGGGAAGGTTCAAGGTCGAAAGCTACCTATCCTGATGCAAGATATTTTCGACTTATACTCTTTCGATAAAGTCTGCATATTGTTGCATTTCCGTTGTCATCAAATTCCATTCATATGGGAGATTGTTGGAAATGGTTTAGAAATTCTGGGTTAAAAACAGATTTTTTCCTAACTTTGGTCTAATATTTAGGTGGGACCCGTGCGTCGATTTTCGCGGCTCAAAGTGGTAACGCGTTCTATGCCACATTGTGATTCACGTGGCATATTTGGTTGCTCAAAACTATTATCGAGTGAATAGGAAATTGAAGCCAAAGTGTGCTCCATGGAAATGGAGTTTTGGTGGAAAATCCTTAAAAGTTTGAATAAGGCTTGTCCCACATTGATTTGATGGAAAGTTTTGAATGGGTTTATAAGACATGGGATTGGAACTTGGGGTATGCCCCAAGGGGTACCCAAGTGTTTTAGAGAGGGAGGTTATGAGCAAAATGGGCTAGACCCATTGGATCCAAAAATCACCACACGCACGCACCGCCGTCCGTCCGTCCGGTCGATCGGGTGGGCTGGGCTGGGCCTAGGCTTAGGTGTGTGGTTGGGTTGGGCTTGTTCGGCCCAATACTAATCTTTTTGGGTCAAAAATATTTGAATTAAATTTTATTTTTTGATAAATAAAATCCATAATTCAAATTAATTTTGGAAATAAACTGGTCCGATTTTTCCTATACACCAAAACAGGGCCCTTCTCGTTTTTATCTGTTCAAATTTTGAACCCAACAGACTTGTATCTGTTTATTCAAATTGAACAAGTATCATACCTATTCAAACAGGTTTGCACCTGTTTAATTCAAAACCTACAGCCACCAATCCATCTATAAATAGGACTGCCCTCATTTGATGTTGATATTCATAATTTTCGCCCTTAAGAGCTCTGCAAATTTATTCTTCATTTTGTTGTATTATTTCTGAAAGAAAGAGTGTAAACACTTAGTGTGTTCATAAGGCAAACAATTTGTAGTGCTGCTATTGTTTGTAGTTGATCATTTCATCTTGGAAGATAGACGTCCATATTCTGAAAGCACCGAGGAGAGGACGAATCTGTTTTAAGGACACAGTGTCGAGCACTGGACTTGATCAGATTTTTATTCAAATAAATTAATCAAGTAAGTTGCTTAATTTATTATTCTGTTTTATTTATTTATTTAAATCAGATTTTAATTTTGTTTTTGTAACAAACTAAAATCTGTTTTTATTTATTTATTTCTATTTCTAGTTTGATTTTTGTAATCAAATAAATTCTCTCATTTCTTCTATTTCTTTTATATTATAGTTGTTATTTAGTACACAACATAATTTAATCTATTTAAATACAGTGAAGATTGTACTACAGTTATGTCTTTTGAACCTACATCACTTAATTTTGAGAGTTGTGCACCAACACTTTTAGAGTTAGCATTTTTCTGATGTTATAGAAAGCCCAAATGATAGCATAGTATTTTTCAATTAAAAAATAAATTATAAAAATATCCTATTCCATTCAACATCAATATTGAATTGGAACTCACAATATTATAAAAAACAATACCATCATAATTAACGGAAAACAAATCCATCCAAAGTAATTACATTTGTCTTTGTAATATATCAAAATATAAGTAAGCAACTTAAGTGCCAAATGTAGCCACCTAAAAGTCAAAATAACCAACTCTATCAAATACCCCACTTCTTCACCTACAAACTTCTTATCCTTTAAGCTTGCTTCTTAAACGAATTTGATCGCTCTTCGCAATAGCAACTGCAAAAGAATAATAATTAAAGGCATTTAAAAACTGAGGGTGAATAATTAAACAATCCATAATCCCAAGGGATTCAACTTTGGTTTAATATCAAATGAAAAAAAGAAGAAGAAGATGATATCATTCGAGAGTACACAAATAATTAAATTTTTAGGTCAATAACTTTAATTTAATTTACATAAAAGAGTGTCAAATTAATGAGATTACTTGAGTAAATCAATCAACATAAAAAATAATAATAATAAAAAATGGTTATAGGTGCAAAATGGAGAGTATCTTCTTTAGAGTTAGGGTGTGAACTAGTTATGAAGTAAAAGGGTGCCACATGGATGAGCAAACAAAAATGAGTTGGATTTTAGCATTTCAAATCCACTGCCAATATATCACCTAATCCAATCTACAAAAGTAAAACACGAGTCATGGATTTATTATCTATCTCACATTATCTTTTTGAATTTCTCACTTATAACCTAAAATAATTTATTAAGTTCAATTGATACAATTGTGAATGCTTCATCACAATGAATTGCTTACTTTAAATTCTACACTTGTCCTTTCCTATAGGAAATTCTTCCAATCTTGAATTGATTTGATGTTATTAGGGTGCAATTTAAGCCTTTCTTCTTCATTTGGTGTTTTTCTGATTTTTCTAACTAATCTTGATTTGGTGGTCCTCCAAAAATCCTCCATCGACTTAAATATGTGATATTTTTTGCCACTCTTCATTTACCTTGAATCTTACCTGCTTATTGTATTAGCATCAATGATATGATTCATTCATGTTCGATGAAAAAAAATATTATTAATTTTATACTACACCTGAATAGATTTCCATAGGACTTCTCTCATCTCTAGAGGAAGTTGTTTCCAATTAGGAAGTGTTATTGGCACGATCTCTCGAACGAGAACATCTAAGAAGGAGGATAATTTAGCCGATCTATAACCAATTGGTTGACTTTTCTCATTAACCTTTATTTCAATCATGCTACGACCATCCACACCATTAGTATTTAATTTGGCGGGGCCTCTTTTTCCTTTAACATTTGTGATCCTTATGTAGGGACTGCAAGTGTTTCTACGTAATGTTGTGGCAATAGGTTGGATGGTACTTTAGAAGACCTCTCACTCAATGTTTGTCTATGATATGATCTCTTCTTACAACCTGTAGCCATTCCAAGAAAACAATAAGTTAGCATTAGGTTTCAAAATTAGTTAGTAAACATAATTGAAAGAAGCAAGATAAACAGAAACATAACATAATTAATAGTACATAAACTGTAAATGCATTGGAGCTACATAAACTCAAAAGAACAAAGGCTAGATGTTAAATTAATAAAATGATAGAAGACAATTTAAGGATCAAATGTATAATGTCTCAATACAAAGTTTTATTCAATGAGCATATTGTTTTAGACTATATCAATGAATATATTGTTTCAGACCATGTAAGATATTTGGAAGGAGTCAAGAAATTAAAAGGCCTTTCTGTAAAGTTGATTACCTAAAGTGGAATGAGCTTGAGGGATAGTTCTAGTTTTGTATTTGAGATTGATTAATTATTTTAGGGTCATTCAAATAAGAACAAATAGAAACTATAATCTACAGATATTGTATATATAATTGATTAGTAGAATTTCCCCTTCACTTATCATTTTAATAATTTTTTTCTAAAACATCATGTATTATGCTCTTATATAATTTGAATTTTTTCCCTTTTTTTAAATTTGCACATTCAATTTTTTATTTTTTTAAATTGAATGTTGTCTATGAAATTATGGTTTCTTTGCTGATATTGTTTATTTCAGTCATTTAATATATTCAAGTTTTTGCTGATATTGAATTAATTTTTTTTTTTTACACAAAAATGGTTAGCGATGTCTCACGTAAGAGACCAACGACATCCACCAAAAGACATGCTAGGTAAACAGAACTGGAAGCATTGGAAGTGAATGTCCTTGTGAAAGAGGATGACTATGTCGATGTGAATAATGATTATGTTGACGACGATGTTGGTGTGGAGGATGAGTTTTTGTAACAAACTAAAATCTGTTTTTATTTATTTATTTCTATTTCTAGTTTGATTTTTGTAATCAAATAAATTCTCTCATTTCTTCTATTTCTTTTATATTATAGTTGTTATTTAGTACACAACATAATTTAATCTATTTAAATACAGTGAAGATTGTACTACAGTTATGTCTTTTGAACCTACATCACTTAATTTTGAGAGTTGTGCACCAACACTTTTAGAGTTAGCATTTTTCTGATGTTATAGAAAGCCCAAATGATAGCATAGTATTTTTCAATTAAAAAATAAATTATAAAAATATCCTATTCCATTCAACATCAATATTGAATTGGAACTCACAATATTATAAAAAACAATACCATCATAATTAATGGAAAACAAATCCATCCAAAGTAATTACATTTGTCTTTGTAATATATCAAAATATAAGTAAACAACTTAAGTTCCAAATGTAGCCACCTAAAAGTCAAAATAACCAACTCTATCAAATACCCCACTTCTTCACCTACAAACTTCTTATCCTTTAAGCTTGCTTCTTAAACGAATTTGATCGCTCTTCGCAATAGCAACTGCAAAAGAATAATAATTAAAGGCATTTAAAAACTGAGGGTGAATAATTAAACAATCCATAATCCCAAGGGATTCAACTTTGGTTTAATATCAAATGAAAAAAAGAAGAAGAAGATGATATCATTCGAGAGTACACAAATAATTAAATTTTTAGGTCAATAACTTTAATTTAATTTACATAAAAGAGTGTCAAATTAATGAGATTACTTGAGTAAATCAATCAACATAAAAAATAATAATAATAAAAAATGGTTATAGGTGCAAAATGGAGAGTATCTTCTTTAGAGTTAGGGTGTGAACTAGTTATGAAGTAAAAGGGTGCCACATGGATGAGCAAACAAAAATGAGTTGGATTTTAGCATTTCAAATCCACTGCCAATATATCACCTAATCCAATCTACAAAAGTAAAACACGAGTCATGGATTTATTATCTATCTCACATTATCTTTTTGAATTTCTCACTTATAACCTAAAATAATTTATTAAGTTCAATTGATACAATTGTGAATGCTTCATCATATTATATAACAATGAATTGCTTACCTTAAATTCTACACTTGTCCTTTCCCATAGGAAATTCTTCCAATCCTGAATTGATTTGATGTTATTAGGGCGCAATTTAAGCCTTTCTTCTTCATTTGGTGTTTTTCTGATTTTTCTAACTAATCTTGATTTGGTGGTCCTCCAAAAATCCTCCATCGACTTAAATATGTGATATTTTTTGCCACTCTTCATTTACCTTGAATCTTACCTGCTTATTGTATTAGCATCAATGATATGATTCATTCATGTTCGATGAAAAAAAATATTATTAATTTTATACTACACCTGAATAGATTTCCATAGGACTTCTCTCATCTCTAGAGGAAGTTGTTTCCAATTAGGAAGTGTTATTGGCACGATCTCTCGAACGAGAACATCTAAGAAGGAGGATAATTTAGCCGATCTATAACCAATTGGTTGACTTTTCTCATTAACCTTTATTTCAATCATGCTACGACCATCCACACCATTAGTATTTAATTTGGCGGGGCCTCTTTTTCCTTTAACATTTGTGATCCTTATGAAGGGACTGCAAGTGTTTCTGCGAAATGTTGTGGCAAGAGGTTGGCTGGAACTTTAGAAGATCCCTCACTCAATGTTTGTCTGTGATATGATCTCTTCTTATAACCTATATACATTCCAAGAAAACAATAAGTTAGCATTAGGTTTCAAAATTAGTTAGTAAACATAATTGAAAGAAGCAAGATAAACAGAAACACAACATAATTAATAGTACATAAACTGTAAATGCATTGGAGCTACATAAACTCAAAAGAACAAAGGCTAGATGTTAAATTAATAAAATGATAGAAGACAATTTAAGGATCAAATGTATAATGTCTCAATACAAAGTTTTATTCAATGAGCATATTGTTTTAGACTATATCAATGAATATATTGTTTCAGACCATGTAAGATGTTTGGAAGGAGTCAAGAAATTAAAAGGCCTTTCTGTAAAGTTGATTACCTAAAGTGGAATGAGCTTGAGGGATAGTTCTAGTTCTGTATTTGAGATTGATTAATTATTTTAGGGTCATTCAAATAAGAACAAATAGAAACTATAATCTACAGGTATTGTATATATAATTGATTAGTAGAATTTCTCCTTCACTTATCATTTTAATAATTTTTTTCTAAAACATTATGTATTATTAAATCATGTATTTTGCTCTTCTATAATTAGAATTTTTTCCCTTTTTATACATTTGCACATTCAATTTTTTGTTTTTTTAAATTGAATGTTGTCTATGAAATTATGGTTTCTTTGCTGATATTGTTTACTTCGACCATTTAATATATTCAAGTTTTTGCTGATATTGAATTAAATTTTTTTTTTTTACACAGAAATGGTTAGCAATGTCTCACGTAAGAGACCAACGACATCCAATAGAAGACGTGCTAGGAAAACAGAACTGGAAGCATTGGAAGTGAATGTCCTTGTGAAAGAGGATGACTATGTCGATGTGAATAATGATTATGTTGACGACGATGTTGGTGTGGAGGATGACGATCTCGATAATGATATTGGTGTAGAGGTTGACCTCATGAAGGACGATGTTGGTGTGGATGATGACAACAAAGAACCAGTTCTAGGTGCTCCAATGGATCCTTCATTGCTAATTAGCTTCCGTAACCATGTTGCAACCGCTGTTTGGAAGAAAAATGTATTTTTTGAATTTCTCAACAATAAACTAATCATATGTACTATATGTTTCAAATTATTTATATGTTTTATGTAAAATGCAGGAACGAGGACCTCTTAAATGTTTAAATCATTCTCAAAAGCTTGTCAAGTGGCCATGGATGTCACTGACAGTTGAAAATGCTAGGTGGAGACATTTGGTTGAGCAGTCTGGTCTTAGTGTCCTTATTGATCACACATATCGGCATGACAATAGAATGGCAATATCTGTCTTCGTTGAAAGGTGGCATCCAGAGACAATTACATTTCACATGCCAGATGGTGAGATAACTGTCATGTTGGATGATTTGCGGACCATACTTGGCATTCCAATCACTGACAGGGCTTTGCTATGTCCTAAGTTAATAAGATACGAGACTACTGAACTAGTGAGTGCTACTTTAGGAGTGCCAGTGAATGATGCATTTGCAGAATTAGTTCAATCTCATGGGCAATCCATGAAGCTAGAGTGGTTAAGAATTAGATTTCATGAAGTTAAAGATACAAATGATGCAAATTTCATACAATACGCAACTAGAGCTTACTTGCTATATGTATTAGGTAGTACCCTCTTCGCTGACAAGAGTGGGACTCGAGTACCCGTTGCTTACCTGCACATGTTGACTGACATTGATGCTGTTAGCTCATATGCATGGGGTGCTGCAGCTTTGGCATTCCTATATAAACAATTAGGACTGCTAATAGGGCTGGTGTTAAGCAAATTATTGGTTACTTGAAGCTATTAGAAGCATGGATTTATGAGCATTTTCATTTAGGAATGCCTCATCAAAATTTGTCCTATTCTGATAAACAACTTCGTGTTTGTCGTTGGAGTCCGCGGAGAGATAGAGGTTTTACAGAAGACCACTTGCAGACATTACGAGAACAGCTTGACATGTTACGTACTAATAAGGTTAGACATTTTATAATAATGTCATATTGTAAAAAAAAATAAGATTTTATAACTAACATTATGCATTACCTATTTGTAGATCGAGTGGGATCCATACCATTTATGTAGGACACACCATCCACTTCATGAGGTTGCATATTATACTAGATGTTTGAAATGCTTTGATATTGTTGAACCTTATCACCCAAATCGGGTTTTGCGACAGTTTGGTAGGGTCCAAACCATTCCACCAACACCATTATCTCCTGTTTGAGCTACACGAGGCAGTAAACCAGGACAGTACAAAATCATCTATCAATACCATGACACGATATGGACGCAATGGGAGAATCATGTGTTGTCCATTAACGCTCGTAGTGTGCCTGTACAACAGAGCCCATCTGAATGTGTACTGTGATACCGTCAGTGGTATGCTCGTGTTTCGCACCGGGTTGTTCAAAATCCTATGCATCACTCTCAATTTGATCCACGTGTTCAACGTCCTGAGAATGATGTTAATATGGATCCGTAGTGGGTAAGCGAATTGTGAATTAACTTATTTCACTTTTAAGTGGTTCACGATAAATCAAACACTAAGTACGATTTTCATCAATTTCTTTTCAGTGCAATGATGCTGCTTTCAGTGTTGGTGCTGTAGTCCATAGGCTCGGTCGTGATGAGTGTGTCTTGCACCATGACATGCTATATGAAACCATTGGTAGGATGCTGCAAGTTCTTGATAGACAGAGTTTGGGATCTACATCGACACGTACAGAGCATCAAGTCTACTATCGTAAACGTCGTAGGATAGGCCGTACATGGCAATTGGGATCTAGTTTTTTTGATGTTATAGTTATGTGTTGACCGTACATGAGAGTTGGGATCTAGTTTTTGTTTGATGGCATAGTTTCTGTGAATGTCTAGCCCGTATAGAGTTTGCGATCTTTTTTTTTTTTATGGCATAGCTTTTGTGAATGCTTAGTCCGTACAGAGTTTGGGATATACTTTTCCTAATGGCATAGTTTTTGTAGATGTCTTGGATCTTTGGTAAACTAGATGTTTGGTTAGACAAGTAATGAAATGTCATACTTTTGTATGAATTTTCAACAATTTCACATATATTTTGTATTCAATATTTATGTGATGATTTTAATGAATTTGGTAAACATACGAATTTGTTATTGTTTGTAATGCATTGTAATGATCTTAAAGTGTTTTGGAGGGATATAGTACCATTTGCTGGAAGTAACATTGTTTTTTTTAGTGCTATGGGCCAGTTCAGTGGCACATTGCTAAACAATTCCCATTATTTCGGTGTTCTGTTACCGGAAACAATAGATCCCTCCAGCATTTTGTTGCTATACATTTATAGAGCCACTTTCTCCTAAACAATGTTTTTTTTTTTTTAAATTTGTGTTGGGCTTGTTTGGTAATACAGTGCTAAACAATTTGAATTACTCTAATACGATGTTATCGGATAAAAAAAAATTTCCCTGTATTATGTTGCCGTTCAATTGGATAATTTTAGTTTGCTTCACAACAAAGCCAGTGGAGCCCACATTGAAGTACCTGTTTGGTCACACAATGCGAAACAATTTACATAACTTCGATGTTATAATGCCGGAATAAATTAGTTTGTCCAGCGTTTTGTTGCTATACATTTACATAATCACTTCCTTCCAAATAATGTGGTAATAATTTGTGCTAGGCCTGTTCGATAATAAAATGCTAATGAATTTTAATTACTCCAGTATTGTGTTACCGGACAAACTATTTTTTCCTAACATTATGTTGTCGTACAATTGAATAATTTCAATTTGCTTCACAACAAAGTCAGTGGAGCCCACTATGAAGTGTCTGTTCAGTCACATGATACTAGACAATTTATATTTTTCTGGTGTTATGTTACTGGAAAAAATAGGTTTGTCCAGCGTTTTGTTGCTATATATTTACAGAGCCACTTTGTTCCAAACGATAATTAGGGCATGTTCGGTAATATAATGTTAATGAATTTGAATTAATCCAGTTTGATAAAAAAACATCCATAAATCAGGTGAGCATCTATAACGTTTTTCATAAAAAATCAAGTGTACAAATATCCATAAAAGCATCTATAAAATCTATCATTGTTTGCATCCATTAATCAAATATGTTATCACAATTTGTCTATATCAATTGTTTCGGTAGTTACTACGTCAGGGCTAATAAGAGTACTAAATTAATGAATACGGATAGTATATGCTTTCTCTCATCCACTAGCACACGGGTGATAAAAAATGGATCCAATTATTTGCTATCGGAGGTACTGGATGACCATGTTGCAGATAAACCTATAACAAAGAAATCAATAAGTAGAATTACAAAAGAAGACATGGTAATGATCTAAGTAGGCTCGGTAGTTACCTGCACGAAATGGTTAAGACATGGTAATGATCTAAGTAGGCTCGGTAGTTACCTGCACAAAATGGTTTCCATTTGCAAATCCTATGCAGATATCTCTTCAATCAGGTGTTGCAATCGGTGCTGATCTAAGTAGTATAAACGTCAAGCATTGTTGCATAGATAAATGATAAAGAACGACTTGGTAGTATGATGCTATCAAATGGCCTAGTCATCCAATGATTTAAATCGAGGGCCAGGTTCGAAGTAGGATAAGATAGAGTTAATGTCATTAACCCTTTCTTGTGAACCCAATAGTTGCATGTAGTGCACTACATTCGAATACAACTCATTCAATAGGTTGTGCTTAACTTGTTGCCAATCATCTTCACCTAAACCAATCAATCCAGCTTTTGCCCTGAAACCACAATTGCCATTTTCTTGTATATCTTTTATGTGACGGATATATAGTCTCAACTTCTTCAAAAATTGTTCGAAGTAAGAGATATGATTTGTTGACTGCATCATACAAACCTACATCACAAATATACACCAATGGATATATGAAATAATTAAGGTTGAACAACTATTAAAGTATATTTTGTACATAGTTACAAGTTTTATGTAATTACATACATTATCTTTTTTTGCCTTCTTCCGTTGCACTTGCTTACGAACTAGTGCAGTTGAGATGATAACATCTTGTGAATAACTATTTTCCCCAGATAGTACAAACTCAAACGCAGATGGCTCACGTTTAGTAGATGTATTGATTTTGAATTGACCATGGCCGCGACCTCACGTGTTAGTCTTGAGTTTAGGTTCCACAAAAAATGTACTGTCTTGACTAATTAACTTCCTCAACTTCTTCAGAAGGATCACTTGTTACGTCTCGTCAATCATTCGGAATTTCTCAATAAAAAAATTAGTCTCTGTTTTGCAATCTATCTCCACAAAAAGCACTTTTGGAAACTAGAAGCATATCTAACTTCCTCCAATGAGGATTTACGCACGAGAGGGCAATCGGTCAACCTTGTTGAAAATACTCAGTTATTTTATATGCACATGGCAACCCACGTGTACGTCATAAAATGCAGCCACATACAGTTTGGTTGTTGAGAAAATTGAGCAAAAGAAAGGATAGATTCTTCATAATCATTTTGTCTCGCTGGTTCTAGAAAATATAAGGATAAAAATAAAATTCACCCATATCTGTAAGAAATTACCAGAAAGTAACATGCAATGCTGGATTTGTTTAGTATTTTTCCTTTTTTTCCCTCAGTTTTCTTGGTAGCCAAACAGAATCTAAAACGAAATTCACCCATATTTGTAGGAAGTAACTAGATAATAGGCATGTAATGCTGAATTTTTTGTTTCTTTCCATATTTTCACTTAATTTTCTTGGTAACCCAACGGAGTCTATTTCCGTTTATATGAGTAACGGATTCCAGAGAATGTGGAAGTAATAATTTGGTGTTTTGTTAATTTTTTGGGTTTTGAGTTGGAGTTGTTTATGCTCAACTAATTATTTTGTATTATCTGTTAGGACTTAAGCAGGCAAAATGGTTGGATCATTTCTTACCAGAGGACTTGTATATGTTGCTCATTAATTTAGGGCTACATACATTATTTATTAAACATTTGCATATATACACACATCATTATTATATACATCCACACAACATTATATATATACACACACATTCACTTGCATACATTACACATCATGTTTGAAATTTATCATAAATTGCAGCCCCAAATACTAAATTTTGAATAAACTCTAAAGCAATAATGTGAGAAAATGGGGAAATAGAGCAAGGGTGATATATATATATATATATAGAGAGAGAGAGAGAGAGAAAGAGAGACGACTATATGTGTACAAAGCATTATACACACACACACATATATTAAACATCATCTTTCAAATTTTTAATAAATTAGAGGCACATACATTCAAATTTGAATAAACCCTAAACCAACTATGTTAGAAGAAGGGGAAACAGAGTAAAGAAGAGAGAGATAAAGCGAGACTGTGTGAGAGAGTGTAACATGCCTAGGGGGTACCCGCGCGCGTTAAACAGTTCGGACTCCCGAGATCTCTTTGATCTAGTCTCACGAGTGCAATGTGAAACATAGATAAGAGTCCAGATTTGACAACTTTTATTGAATCCATTTTATTGCAAAAATCATTTGCCAGAAATGGACTGCTTCACCAGATCTCAGAGTCGCCACCTAATATTTATTTTGGAAAAATTAGGAAACCAATGACTTGTGCTAAGGCCACTGTTCGTCGTAACCAAGGATGTTTGGCTCGGAACCTTAGGTATGAGAAGGGAAGGTCAATAATGAGCACCCCCGCTCACCCGATCAAAAGATTGGCCTCTACTAAACCATGATATGACTTTTATTTTCTTTATATGTTCATGTTCTAATTATTTAGTAAATCCTAAAATTTACAATGTGAAGCATACAAGTATAGACTAGTTTGCTCAAATTGGAACAATTCAATTTCATGTTTGTGTTTCGAAAAGGGTTTGAATTTGCCATCTCAAGTGGGCTTAGAGTTTGTGAATTTGCCAACACAAAGTGGGCTTAAACGTACATTCATCGAATCATTCCAATTCAAGTAACAAGCCTTCATCCACAGGCATTCAAACAGTTTATCATTTAAACAATTAGCCTCATAGTAGGATGCTAAACATAATAAGAAAATTATGTACAAACGGGATGCTAAAGCATAAAAACTTACATATTTACCAACGTCCCGCGAACAACTACAAAACAAAGTTAGTAAATATACATGATTCCTAACTATACAACACATGTGATATGCAATTAGTAGGCTCGGCTACTAATATGACATATGAAATGATTTGATCGCATGTAGTCTAAGCATGTATTCAGAGAAGTATTGAACCGACAATACGAATTGGATGGTGAACCGAGCCTTGGTGCATGCAATACAAGTGGATGCAAACATGAGTATTCTAAATGAAACATGATGTCCCTAAACTAACCATCATAAGCTGATAAATAAAAGGGAGAAAGACGTGGGGTTGGAAGACATGCACACACACGCACACTTATTACAAAATTGCGCCCTCGCGAAGGAGGGTCCGAATGAACTAACTAGCTAACTAATTATTACAAAACAAATTAATTACCTATGCTAGCTACAACATCACACTTAAGTAACAATTCTATCTAATTATTACAAATTGGAACTAACTACTTAATTACACTAATTAATTAATTCTAAAATTAACTAAACTAATTAAATACACTAATTAATTAATTTATAAACTTCTAATTAACTACACTAATTAATTAATTATAAAATTCTAATGACCTCACTAATAAAATTCTAATTAACAAAACTAATTAATTACACTAATTAATTAATTATACAATTCTAATGCACTAACTAACACTACAAAAAATGTCACTTTTGGCTACCAAAATATTGGTCGGCAAAAGTCACTTATTTAGTCGCCGAAGGTGTTTAGCGACCAAAATTTTTTGTCGCTAAGCTCGTCGCCTTTACCTGGCCGGCGATAGTATTGGCGACTAAAATTTGTTCGGTCGCCGAAAGTGTACACATTTGGCTACTAATCTTAGTTTAGTCGGCAAAAGGTATGTTTCCGCCACTAAAGTATTAGTCGCCAATTGTTTCTTTCTCTCATTCTCAAATCTTTTAGCTACTAATTATTTGGTGGCAAAAACGTTTTGGGTTATGTTTTTGCTACTAAATTATTAGTAGCCAAAACTTTTGATTACCTATTTGGCTACCAAAACATTTGGTAGCCAAATGCTTTAACGTGTTTTTTTTTTTTCGAATTTTTTTTTCTAAACAACCTTTATCCATTATTAATACAACCTGTACCCTGTATGAACAATATAATCCATCAACACTAAATATGTTATCAAACATTCAACCACGTGCACACATTTCAATTGCAACCATCCAAATAATTAATATTGAACGTCCAATTATATATATATATATATATTACAAATTTCATAAGAACCAAGTCTAATCCAACGTCAATATTTTAATTCCATACATAATACATGAATAACCAAATTAATTGTATACTTACAACTTCTGTACCACAACAAAAATTATATTAACTAATGAAAGACATACAAACATGGACCCATCATGAGTTCTTGTTTTAGCTTTTCAATGACAGTAACAAAGTATCTGAAAATCAACAAATGCCACCGGAGTTCCATATGTGCTTTGCATCTTCAATTTTATAAATCCATGGCAACTGGGAAAGGACAAAAAGAAATAGAAAATTAAATTCCACAAGCTTCACATATTAGGAAAATACATGATAAAAATAATTACTCCAAACCTTGAAAAGACTTGAATTAGCTCTTGCTCTGAACAAGTTGGCCCCAAATTTGCCACAAATAGTGTTGGACATGCATTAACATTTTGTGGAACATGAGGTGCAGAGTAGTTGTTCTGCTAATGTAGAAAAAATCCCGAGAGAACTGAATTAGTGAATAAAGATTCAAGCATACTGGATAAACTATTTAACATGAGGAATTGGTTATGCAAATGCAAAAGGCCCAATAACAAGATCAATGAAAATGATGGATAATGATGCTATTGGAAAATACCACCTAGCAGTAGTGTGTTAGTCTATTGCATCAAGGTAATATAGTTTTCAAGTAGGTTTGTGGATCATTTTCAAAGAAGAATTGACTTCTGACAACCATAAATACTAGTATCCAAGGGGATAATGTTAAAATGGTTAGGATAAGAGCCATGGCGAATTTATTTTGTTTAATTTTCCAAATATCCCAAAATGGACAATTGAACTACACTACAAAGGCAGGTGACTCCAAAACAGCCCAGAAAAATTAACCCAACAAGTTTGACGTATGAGGCACTTGCTTTCGCAAAGAATTAGTTTCATAGCTAAAGCTCTCATGTTGACATATTTGACAGATGGGTTGACAACCAACGGCCACAGAACGAGTCCACAGAGTTCTTTAGAGTATTTGAGGGTAACTAGACCACTGTAATTAAAATAAAGCGGAGTGAATTGCTCGAGTTAAAAACAAAGACAAAACAGGATAACAATATCCATGGTTGCAAGTAATTATGGGCATTGATAGGAACCTTTCTGTAACCTAATTTATCAGATCCCCCTCTAGTCTTATTTGAGGGAAGAGGGAGTGAGGTCTGTGTGTGTGGCTTGGTTAGAGTGAATTGCTTCAAAAAGCATACTTAAACATAGTTCTTCGAATAGAGACCAACTAAGAAATTGAAATCTACAAATAAAAAACATTCGGGAAGTTATAAACTATGTGGGAAAAATGTACCAATTAACAAAACCAGCTTCAGAGCATCTGTTAGACAACTTCCTAACTTCCAGCTTTTCTGGGCATCTTCCGTTGCCAAGAAAAAACAATATTTTTTTACTGCTTATGAGGGACAGAAATAACATACATTATAAAGTTGTGCCAACCTAGCTTTCATAAATTTATGAAGTTAAAGTCTAACAAGGTTTCTTTCCCCTTGCAGGACATGATAACAAGGTTAGACATCTTTTCTTTTCTTTTCTTTTCTGCTGAGTAAGGTTAGACATCAACATAGAAAAATTAAATTTAAGAGAAATTCCCTTAAAAAATATATATATCAAATTCAATGTGAGAATAAACTGTGCAATGATGCATATTGAAATGGTAGCTTAAGGTGCTTGCAAGTAAGCAAAAAATAAAATAAAAATGAAATGGCTATATAACACAGAAATAATGCATAATTCTGGTTCCAAGCCCAAGATTAAAGAAAGGGGAAAAAAATTAAGGAAAACCTGAACAGATGCAAATGAACTACAAATAATAATAATAACAATAATTGACTAACCATGAAAGAGATTATACAAAGCAATTCAAAATAACTATGCCAATGCCATGACCCATGAGCATAACAATTCAGCGAAGTAAATACATTTCAAAATAATGCAAATAACCATGGAGGCATAGCAACATAATGACAATCATAAATGCAAAAAATCCAAGAATATATGGAAACCTAAAAGCAGACTCTAAAAACATTAATTAAAACAAAAGACCAAGTTTGAAGCCATGCTCTCTCTCTCTCTCTCTCTCTCAATTAATCTATAACTAAGCTTGTTTAGTGTCCCAAATATTTGACATGATCTAATGGATGACTCTAGTCTGGAAGGTTTGATGTCAAATCATACTAACACTATGTAAAGTTGATTTGCAATTAAGATGAATTCTTCTTTGAGGCATTTCATCAAACACCCTGTCCACCAAGGTTATTATATAAGAGCAACACAATATATATACACAATAACACAGAAACAATGTGAGGCTTCAATTCACACATCCACAATTTCTCATACAATTTGATCAGATTGTTGAAGAAGAAGAAGAAGCCACATACACAGAAATCCCATAAAATCATTATTATTAAGATTGATTTACAGGAAACTCACCAAGGAGTAGTGGGCAATGTCAATCTGTCAATGCATGATAGCATATCAAATTAGGCAAAAGTGTATATAAGAAAACATCACTAATCAAAATATAAACCAATTAGTGTGGGGTTTTTTTATAGTAACGAAAAGCACACATATAAACAACCTTGACAACAAAAATTGAATACCCATGTTTCTGAAATCCAATCCACATAGGGAAGGTAGAAAACTATTGGAAAAACCAAACCCATTTCAGAAACCAACACGAAATTAAACTGAATCAAGAATATAAAACCCTAGAGCAACAATCAGAAAGGGGAAAATAGAGGAAGGGAGACAGAGACACAGCTCGATTGAAAGAGAGAGCAAGCGCGCAGAGAGAGAGAGAGATAACCTGTGCTCTGCAGCAATAGCGATGGCGCTGGCGATCTGCAGAGGTGGCGGTGGCGGTGGTCTGTGGTCATGTGAAGTGGTGTGAGGTTTGGTGTGGTGAAGGAGAATAAACAGAGAATAGGAGCGAATGTTATATATATTTATATATATTTCACCATTAGCGACTAAAACTTTTTAGTCACCAATTAATTTTTCAAATCCCTCCAAAATTTAACATGTTTCCCTCCAATTATTTTAATTTTTTGGCGACTAACATTATTTTTGTCGCTGAAAATCAACTTTTGGCGACTAAAATTTTAGTCGCCAAAAGGTAAAAATTAATTTTTTATTTTACATTTGCCGACTAAAGGTTTTAGTAGCTAAATGTACACCTACAGCGACTAAATTTACTTTTTGTCGCCAATTTCAGGCATTTTTGCCAACTAAATTTCTTTCAGTAGCCAATTGTGATATTTTTAGCTACTAAAATTTTTTTTAGTCGCCAATTGTAATATTTTTAGCTACTAAATTTTTTTTAGTCTCTAATAATCAACATTCCCCTACGAAAAAAAATTAGTAGCCAAAAAGTTGACTTTTGCCGACTAAAATTAATTTTGGTAGCCAATTCCCACACTTTTGGCGACTAAATTTGTTTTGGTAGCCAAAAATGATCGCCAAAAATGTGTTTTCTTGTAGTGTAATTAACAAAACTAATTAATTAATTATCAAATTCTAATTACTTCAAACTACTTAATTACACAACATTAATTAATTATAAAATTCTAATGAGAAGCCGACCTTTGTGAATCTTTTTCTCATGTGGCCTGTGTGTGTGTGTTGTAGTGTCCCGGTGTGTGGGTGTGTATGTGAATGATCCTCGTGCGCATGAGTGTTGGGTTTCAGCCGTGTGGGTGAGTTCATGGGTTTGGTGTGCTGTGAGTGTATGCATGTGATGGCTTGCATGTGATGGAGAGAGAGATATATTGGTCTTGGGCTAGAGATGTTAGATAATGTCTCAATGGGACCACATAATTAAATGTGGTGTTATCATTTATAAGAAGCCTACAATTTAAGTGATTCAATTTAGTTAATAGGCTTAAGGGTATATGTGTTATGGACCTAATGTGTAGATACTAGTTGTATAATTTCTATTTCTATGAGGGGCAGAAATAGAAATTAAAACATAATGGTTAAAGTTGGTTTTCATTCCTTTTCAACTTCCACAACCTTTCAGTTTTGAAAACCAATAAATAGAAATTAAAACCAATAATGGTTAAAGTTGGTTTTCATTCCTTTTAAACTTCCACAACCTTTCAGTTTTGAAAACCAATTACAACCTTTAAAAGGTTATGGTCCCTATTCCTTCCCAAGGTGAAAGTAATTTCATACAACGTCTACAGAAATTTAATTTTCTAACATTCTCAATATA